CGATCCGAGGCGTAATTTCCTGCCGATCCGGGATTAGCGGCGCGTGCGGGCAGCTGCGTTGGGACGCGTAATGACGCCCGCGCCGCAATATCCGCGCTCGCATATCTGGCGGTTGAATTACTCGCGCGTGCCCCTCCCCTCCTCCGCCGCCGCCGCGCGCAACCCCCTCCCCTCTGCTCCCAGAGCGCTCACAGCCTCCGTCGTCGCCTTCCGCGACAACCCTAGTCCTTTCCGCATCGCGGTTTGAGTGTCGCGCGACAGGTGACCCATCGGAGGAAAGTGCGGAAAATCGGGCGCCGCCGCCGCAAATTTGCCCCAAAATCAAGCTGCAAGAAATGCTCGAAACGCACTGGAGCCGCATATCTCGACAGCGACCGTGAACTAAGAAAAGGCGTCATGTTCCCAAATCCAAATTCAAACTCTGAATGGGGGTACCGATGGCAACTCGCGGGACTATGACTTCGGTCGGTTCTTTTTTCGAAGTTGGGTTCGACGTGCTACATCCCGTGCGTAAAGCGTTGTCCGCCCCTCGTCTGTCAACTATCCGTGAACATCAGTGCCCCTACCCTTCAAAAGATTTTCTCCAATGTGGAACGGAGAACGGTTGTAGAACGGTTCTCTCACGGAACGATCTGGCTGGACTCGAGCCATGTGTACTTCAAACAAAGCATTTAATTTTGTAATACTTTACATGAAGCCACTACGATATCTTTACTTTTTTTCAGAATTGTATCATTAATTTTCTCCAGAGCAGAGCAAAGCGCGCTAGTAAATACATTTTCGAAAATTACATATGTTTACAATTGAACCTTCGTGAGAGCTCAATGGGCAATACCTAAAAAGTGGCCATCTAAAAGACCTACGACACAAGTGTATTGTGAAGTGATCGTTTGTCTTGAATTTATTCAGATGTTTGAATCTGCACTATTAAATTGTGGGTTGGGGTAACGAACACATAATAATAATAATAATAATAATAATAATAATAATAATAATAATAATCTTGCTGTCAGCGCAATGTGAAAGCTTTTACGTAGTATTCCTTCGTACAGAGTTAGCCAATAAAAAGTCCAACTGCAATATTTTCTAAACGGTTGGAAGGAATTTTCAGCTAACGATTCAGAACATATGGTCTCATCAGCTGTAGTTTTTAGCTTTTTGATGGCATTTTTTATCGAAAAGATACAGGACCAATTCAGTTTTTTAAATGGAACACTTAAACGTTTTACGAATATAGGTAGGTTTTGAGAAAACAAATTCGGCAATACTATATGTGTTGGTATTTGATAATTATACACACTAATGAATTTTAAAATCTGACGTTACAGCACTTCCGTAGTTCACGGCGCGGCTGGATTTCTAAACGTTTCCAAGGCCTTTATAGTTCTCCGTTCCTGTCTATGTCCTGTCC